CCTGACAGGAAAAAGAAAATTATGGAGGGGGTAACTATCTGTAAAATGGGAAAGGTTTGGTCTGACCACTGCAAAAACCCAGTTGTGCACAGAAGATGCTGTCCCAACGGATCTGACATCCCAAGAGATAGGCTGGTGGTGGTGAAGACAAAAGAGACAAAAACTGGAGAACACCCAGTAGAATCCACAGGGGGAAAAGGGGGAGTTATGTCTTCAAGCACTTGGTAGACGGCTCCTTTTATGCTGGAAGAAAGCCAACATATTTCAGCCTTTATATATTTCTGTGGCCTTCTTCAGGGGTTGCATAAAAACATAACAATAAACATAAAATGAAAAGGGCACTGCATAACTATAATAATACATACAGAATATGTCATAATGCATGTCATTCTAATCTTTGTATGCTGCTTAAAGTCTATACATACTGATGATAAATCCTAACCTACAGAAATTTCTGGAGCCAAATAGTTCGTTCCATTTCCAAGGCAGAAAAGAAATTGGAACTTAGAGACGTGTTTCTTTTTTTTTCTGATGGAGATGGCAAGCCAGAATTTCGATGCCCAAATTTGTGCCTAGGACTATTCTCTTACCCAGTACATGTTCTTCTACTGTGGGTAAAGTGGAAGGATCGAAAAGAGATTGTGGCAAATGGCCAAAATATGTTCCAGCATTACTGTCCTTCAGGGTGTTTGCTGGACTTTCCCTGTTCCCTTTATTTTAACCAAGGCAGTGTGTATAAGATGGAAGAATGGGAGTACGAATCCATTTTCTCATGTTCCACTGTCCTTGCAATAAGCAGCCCTCTCTCATTGGAGTTTTTGCTGAGAATGAGCAAATGTGTCCTTAACTGCATTTGAATATCAGTAAGAGATTTCTCTTGAATCAAGCACCCTCCAGATTTGCTTGTTTTAATTTCTATCCTGCTTTTTTCACAGTATGGGACCCAAGGCAGCTCACAGCAATTTGTTAAAAGCAAAATGCTATTAAAATTAGACAAAATGTAATATAAAATACAAAATAATACACAAATTAATACAAATATACAAGTCATCAGATTTTTAAAAGATGTTTTAAATTGTTCTTAAAAAGCCGTAACAATATAATCAGCTCTCTATATTTGTGGGTGTGATTATTCATAGTTTGGTAATAATATTCTCTATAGGAATCTTTAGAAAATCACACTGGAGGACCTGGATTTTCCTAGAGAAAACACCTCTTGAGGAATCTCAAGGTCCTCTAGTGCAGTGGTTCTCAACCTGGGGTCCCCAGATGTTTTTGGCCTACAATTCCCAGAAATTCCAGCCAGTTTAGCAGCTGTTAGGTCGGATTTCTGGGAGATGAAGGCCAAAAACATCTGGAGACCCCAGGTTGAGAACCACTGCTCTAGTGTGAATCTATGATTATTCTTTGGCATGATGTTGCTGACTTGCAGTTCCTAGCATTTACCACAATTGACTATGTTGGCTACCACTTCGGGGACGTCCAGTTTAACAACCTCTAAGAGCTGCATAGAGGAGCCTCTGGTGGCGCACTGGGTTAAACCGCTGAACTGCTGAACTTGCTTACCGAAAGGTTGCAGGTTCAAATCCGGGAGCAGCGTGAGCTCCCGCTGTTAGCCCCAGCTTCTACCAACCTAGCAATTTGAAAACATGCAAATGTGAGTAGATCAATAGGTACCACTACAGCAGGAAGGTAATAGCACTCCATGCAGTCATGCCGGCCACATGACCTTGGAGGTGTCTACAGACAATGCCGGCTCTTCGGCTTAGAAAAAGATATGAGCACCACCACCCAGAGTAAGACACAATTGGAGTTAATGTCAGGGGGAAACCTTTACCTTTACTAAGAGCTGCATGATTTTGACTGATCTCTGAAAAAATTACCAGTGGAGGAATGTCTTATGCCTTTGTCATGGATTGAGCTTCTGTTTTTCTCCATAAGTGCTGAACCTTCGGCTTAGCAGAGTGGATGGGGTATATGGCCACAGAGAAAACAGCAGATCAATACATTCTAAAAGGTTCTTGAAACAAGAGGACAGAATGGGAAAATGGGAAAGGGTGGCTTACTCCTCTTAGCAATTGTTTATTGATTTGGGATAAGATCAGCTGAGGGTTCCAGCAGTGAGGATGCATTACTGCAATAGCAGCAAAGTTGAGTAAGGCAGAGTACAAGTATTGTGTTCCTAGTTGGTTTGCTGCAAAAATACTCAGTTCTGAAGCACTGGGAAACCGCTGAAATGCTGCAAGCAGAGGTGTGAAGACATGTTCAGAATGTAGTCGGCGGAATAGCAGAGAGCAAACATCAGATAGGGAGTTCTGTGCATTTCTGATGTTGGCCTAGACTGCGTAATGCCATCACTAATGAAGGATTTTACACATCTTCATTTCACTTTCAAGACACACAGGCTCAATTGTAGACACATCTCATCCATGGCTGCAATCAATACTGAGTGTGCCTTGTGCTGCGGACCCGAGTGGCATGTAATTATGAGACTGTATTGATTTCCCCTGCAAAGCGGTTGCTAACGTACAAAAAGCAGCTTGACTTTCAAATGACTGGCCTTTTCTTTCCCTGAGAAAATTAACATGGCTCAGAGAAAGCTCTAAATTCTGTACTGGGATTTGAAATCATGCTGTGGAACAATGGAAGGGGCATGTCACTCCTGCCCTGTTACAAATCTTGATCACTGCAGATGGCTTTGCGGGCATCCTACTTTGGCTGCCTTGGAAAAAGACTTGGACCTCAATCCAGGTGGCTTGAATGGTGAATTCTGATTGAATAGCAAGGCCGCCAAATGCATTCTTATTGGAAGCTGTTTTCTTTGCTGCCCAACAAGCAACAATCAAGAAAGGTGAAATAGAAGAGCCTCAACCTGATTCTATAGATGCCTCATCAAACATAATATGTTAATACGCAATTACATTTGTGGCTCATATAAAACTAATAATGGTTATAAATGACTTTGCATATTATGTAATTATTATAGCTATCATAACCATTTACTTATGTACAAGTAAATCAACAATGAAGTAACACAACACTGACAAAACACAAATAGCTTTGTGTATATGATATATTCGCTGTATGTGTGTGGAAACATATATACAGGTGAAGGAAGGAGCAGTATAAAGCTATCCAAAAGCAAAACAAATTATCGATATAGACTACAGAAGAATAGAATATAAAATAAAGCAAACTGGCAAATACATATAATTTAAGTATATGAGATGATAAAACTCCAAAAGCCTTTATTTATTTATTTTTATTTTTTATTTATCGTGTCAGGAGTGAACCAGAACAGTTGTATTGCATTAAAAAAAAGACAAACAAACAAACAAAACACAAAGTTTGCAGACTTAGTATTCTATTATATGTCATTTGACCAGTAGCTAGCCACTTGGAGTGCCTCTGGTGTTGCTACAAGAAGGTCCTCCATTGTGCATGTGGCAGGGCTCAGGTTGCATTGCAGTAGGTGGTCTGTGGTTTGCTCTTTTCCTCACTCGCTTGTTGTGGATTCCACTTTGTAGCCCCATTTCTTAAGGTTGGCTCTGCATCTCGTGGTGCCAGAGTGCAGTCTGTTCAGCGCCTTCCAAGTCGCCCTGTCTCTGTGTGCCCAAAAGCCTTGAAAACGAAGGAAGTTTTAATTACAACTTAAAATTGAAGGAAGGAGCAACCTGCAAATATTTAGGAAGGTAATTCCAGGAATGTAATGCAATGAGCGAGAAAGGCTAGAAGGCCCTTCCATCTCTTAGATTCTGTGATTATCATCAGAACCATCAGAGCTTACTTTGCAAAAAGAAATCAGTAACTCTGGAAAAGTGATATAGTATAAAGGTGAAACAATTAAGAATCAGGAATCAGTTTATTTTTTTCTCAGTCATGAGTTCACAGGTTGGCCTGCAGAATGACATTGTTTCTTAGCCTTAGTCTTCCATTTGCATTACGGAAACAATAATATTGTCCTGCTTTATTCTTCTAGTCACTTTGGAGTGGTCTTTCTCTCATACAACTAGCTTTGTGAGACAAATGTAGTTGTATATTTTTCTTGATCCCAGAAGCTTTATCCTAGGTACAGTGCTATTATTCTCTCAAAAGTTTTGATACTTATTCTCATGGGCCTTGCAATCTGTCTGATTCTACCAGTAGATTAGCTGTGGTGTCTAAATAGGATCTTGAAATTTAGTGCACAACAGAAATCAGAGTGTTTACTTCTGTGGCGTACTCATGAGCTTTTCTAGAAGCGTTTTGGCCATTTGGAGCTCAAGATGTTAGGCGAAAACTGATCCACCTGAGCTTCTATTAATGTGGAACCAAATAGTCAAAGATGGCAAAACTCTTTTTGGCCCTTGTTACAACACACCCTAAGGTCCTTTTGAGTATATAATCAGTTGTTGAACCATGGTTTTACTGACTTCATATAGTTTCATGTTCATTGAATTTTTACTCTACCTAAGCTTCATGACATTCACTGCTCCTTAGAATAACATTTCATAGTTTGAAACTTACTCAACTATTGATGCGGATTGGGTTCTTCTGTTCTATAAACCCCGAACAAGATGAAATGAATTAGCCATTGGATATATTCTCTATTGCATTGGTTCCTAGCTTTTAGTTCTCTGCGTATTTTGGACTTCAGCTCTCAAAATTCCCAATAGTTGGTCAGGATGATTGGAGTTCATGGAAGTTGAAATCCTAAAATCTGAAGAACCAAAGGTTGGGAACCTCTATTCCATAGGAATAGTACATCTAGAGAGTAAATAGTACATCTAGAGAGTAAATTACATAGGAGTAAATAGTAGGGAAGGTCATGGTAAATGGCTGAATGTCATAAAACCGTCAGCGAAATGACTTTTGAGGCACCATCCTGCTGTGCATATTACACAGAGATCTCTGAATTGCTGGACATTTGAATATTTTACCTGAACATCTTTGTTGATTTCTTCCCACCCTACCCTGCCCTACCCTACCCTACCCTATCCTCTGTCCCCTTTCTCTTATAGCAGCAAAGGAGGGAGAAAGAGTTAAGGAAACAGCAAGAAAGAGAGCAGCGCCGACATTATGAAGAGCAAATGCGCCGAGAAGAAGAGAGAAGACGTGCTGAGCATGAGCAGGTAACTCACATCAGCTCTTAGATGAGTTTGCATTTATTAATGGAAACACTGATTCTCAGGGTGAAAACTCTGTTCTGCAACCCGATATACACTCAGTAGGCAACATCGGTTTGTTACAACTTCTTCACTAAGTACCCATGTTTCCTAACATTTCTATCGTATTCACTGTTTATGGTCTACATCTTGTTAGTTCCACCTGGAGTAGAATCATTGAATCAGTGGAACTTACATAGGTTTTGACTTATCAAGCTTCTATTAATTTAGTGGATTTTTATTTATTTATTTTAATGTATTTATATCCCGTCCTTCTCACCCTGAAGGAGTCTCAGGGCAGCCTTACAATTGGATCAAGTGAGCATTTGGAGCTAACAGTTTGATTTTGGACTTTGTTTAGCTGCACGTTTAAATGGAATCCTTGCTATAATGCATCTTAACATGCAGTGTCCTTAAATGATAACTTTGATGCAAGGACTTCCTTGTGAATAGGATTGATGAGCAAGGCCCTGGTCTGGGCTTTCCACCACTGGAGAAGTGGCACTTTTGTGTGGTGGCACCACAGTTGTGGAATGCCCTCTTTACCTCTCTCCATGGCACCTGCCTTAATATCTTTTAGCTGAAAATCTCATGGATTTATTAAGGAGCAGGTGTTGTTTAATATAACAGTACTCCGTTTGTAGAAAAAACAGAGTAGTGCTGTGAGCTTGTCAAGCAGACAAGCTTTTTAAGAACCATTTAGTGGATCTTAATTACTGCTGATCTTAGTTTATCCACTGCAGTGATACACTTTGTCAATTTTTTATTGGATTGGTGCAGTTGGCACATCCCTCGCATGAGAAGGTTTCAGGTTGAGCCTCAACATCTCCACTTGAGAGACTGAGGTAAGAGATGAAGGAGAAGACCACTACCAGATCCAAGTGGAATTGTTATGTTCAGATCTCTCCAGCAGCAGTTGAACAGATCTGATTAAATTATGATAAGCTTTTCAGCACTGCGTAATTACATTCAATCATATATCACACTCTTGACTGTTTTGCAACTGTGGACTATTCAAAGTGTCATTAGCTGGTGGTCCAAAATAAATTTATAGGAGACTAGTCTCCTGTGAAAAATAAGTCTACCACATCTGATAGTTGAGAAGCACTGGGCTAGAATGCTTCCCTATTTAACTATTGCCTGGTCACAGCACTGAACTTAACAGAACAATTTATTTTGTTCTTGGCAGAAGCTGATTTTGGCTTTCTTCGGCTAATTGCATTATTTCTCAATAAGTGTCTAATTCCTTGATTTCCCCATCCTATATAAACCAGGTCTCCTTGGTATTTCTGCAGTTTCCCCTTCTTATGTGGTCACTCCTTTCTCTTTGGAATTATGGTTCTTTCTTTTCTCTTCTTTTTCTCTCCTTTCCCCCTCTGCTCTGCTGCCACATCTCCAGGAATACATCAGGCGACAGTTAGAGGAAGAACAGAGGCAGTTAGAGATCCTGCAGCAACAATTATTGCAGGAACAAGCTCTACTTCTGGTAATGGGAAGGCAGGATCTATTTCCAGCCTTTTCTTTGTGTACTGAGAGTGCGTGCCATATGCCTATATGTACCTGTGTCTTCAAGCTTTTAGGATTGCCACCTTTTCTGGAGAATCCTCCTTCCACAAACAGCTAAATTTATTCAAATGTTGGCATATTCAAATTTTATTCACATTTCTAGCACACTCAGAATTTTGATAAGTTGTTAGTGAAGGAATGGCCCACATTGATTTAGCAAATGTATATGGCATTTGTGTATGTGTATGTGGTGTAACTAAATGTTGGAGCCCCAATGGCACAGTGGGTTAAACCACTGAGCTGCTGAACTTGATAACTGGAAGGTTGCAGGTTTGATTCCGGGGTGCGGCATGAGCTCCCACTGTTTAGCTCCAGCTTCTGCCAACCTAGCAGTTCAAAAACATGCAAATGTGAGTAGATCAATAGGTACCGCTCCAGCGGGAAGGTAACAGTGCTCCATTATGTCATGCTGGCCACATGACCTTGGAGGTGTCTATGGACAATGCCGGCTCTTCGGCTGAGAAATGGAGATGAGCACCAACCCCCTGAGTCAGACACAGCTGGACTTAATATCATGGGAAAACCTTTACCTTTAACCTCAAGGCATTGTTAAGTCTGAGGTAAAGCACAGTTTGAATAACTGAGAATAACTACACTATGCCCTCAATTTTCAAGGAGCTAAGGGGTGCAGGAGCCCCATAAAAATGGGGAAACCACAAATTTAAAAGACTGATTTTAACATTTAATACAGGGATGTAAAAAGTGATTTTTATAGGCTGTGTGTGGCCTCTGGGCCCCACTTTTTTAACTCCAGAAACCCCACATCAATCTCCAACCCCTCTTGGGGTTCCTATTAGGGAGTTTGGGGGTGGGGGGCAGATTGGCACCCAAGTCCCATACAGTTGTCCAATGCGGTGTAATGAAATGGTGTTAAACACGAATGTGACTGACTCTTCAGCTGCAAATATTTTCTATTGAAAGCAGCCATGGGCTGGGTAATGGAATGGAGACATGGTCCAAACACGTATACATCTCCTTCTTCTTGTACCAAGGCCCCAGTCTAATTTTTGCCCCCTCCAAGAACTTCTGCCAGCTATAAAAAAGGAAACAGCACAACCTGTAACTAACTCTAGGGATGAGGGGAAAATAATATTGTGCCTTTGGCATGGAAATTTGCTATATAGCCAATGCATTCTTTATAAAGGGAGTCATTTGGGATTCAGAGCCAGTGCATTGGCAAGAAATGGAAGTGTCCCCAAGGAATAAAGTGCTCCGAAATACAGGTTAAAGGTGCCCCCGCTGCAGCTCCCATCACAATTCTCCTGTCAACAGGCAAGCTGGCATATTCCCCTTCCGCTTCAGGATTTTAGAAACCCTGAAGGACAAATGTGGGCTTGCCAGGAAGAGTGTGCTTAAAAAGCAAACCAAAAAATGGAAACAAATCAAAAGGCACCAGGAGTCGTTTCTAACTTTAAAACTCCTCAAAGTGGCAATCTTGAAAGGCTAGGCCAGCATGAGTGTGGAGAGTCATAATGAAGAGGTATTTTTTGAAGTCCTGTCTTGAAATACTTCCCTATTCCATTCAACTCCCAGACAAGAGAAGTGCGGCATGTGATATTGGTTTCTCCCCTGAATGCAAACCTCAGCCAAGCTGCAAATGTTTTTTCCCCATCCTTTCTGTCAGTAACAGGGAGGACTCATTGCTTGCAATCCTTTGCTGTGCATGCTTTTCATTGCTTGCTCTCTTTCTAAAATGTTCACCATCTTCCTGACATGAACATATTCTTCAGAGGCCTGCCGCTGTATTTATGTTATAGCTCTGAATGGAAAGCTGATGGCAGCGTCTGAAATTGTTCTTGCTTCCTGTAATTTCTATTTGGTTTTATGAGGGTTGATGGCATATTTCATATCCAGCCTGCCTAGCTTTACGTGCCTGGCAGGAGTACATTGCCTTGTTGTGCTGTTTACTGTGTTATTGTTGTTTTGTTGCTAAACTTCCTGCATATACATGCGCTCACTTATACACTGAAGTTAAATTTAAATCTTATCACTCTTTTGAATGGAAACTTGTCATTTTAAAACAGACAGTATTTTATTTATTCGTTGATAAACATGAGTTGTTGACACCTTCATGCCTTATCTCCGTTCCCCAGTTGGATCTATTAACTTTATGGGCAGGTTATGCAAATCCTTCCTTGCATAAATAATGATGTTTCTGCCAATGAGTTTCATAATCCTAATACGGAGTTTGGAAATAGGTTATAGGTAATAGAGTCACAAGACCCCCTGGTGGCGCAGCAGGTTAAACCGCTGAGCTGCTGAACTTGCTGACCGAAAGGTTGGTGGTTCAAATCCGGGGAGCGGGGTGAGCTCCTACTGTTAGGCCCAGCTTTTACCAACCTAGCAGTTCAAAAACATGCAAATGTGAGTAGATCAATAAGTACCACTTCTGCAGGAAGGTAACAGCGCTCCTTGCATTCACGCTGGCCACATGATCTAGGAGTCTTCTATGGAAAATGCCAGCTCTTCGGCTTAGAAATGGAGATGAGCACCACCCCCCAGAGTTGGCCACGACTAGACTTAATGTCAGGCGAAACCTTTACCCTTACTTAAATAGTCACCTGTAACCCATAAAGATATAGTTTAAGTAATGAAGATGAAGCTGTATTAATCATAAGAGAGCAGGGAACAACAACAACAATATTTATTTCTTAAGAAGTAATATTTTCTAGTTACTTTTTAAGGGGTATTTGACATTTTAACCAGAATCTTCCAAGTTTAATCTCATTTTTTATTAATCCTGAGAAGTTGTATTTTTGAAAGTAGTGTAAAAGTAACATGTAACATAACAAACTTTGCTTCCCCTGATAATGACAATAAACTACCCTTTTAAGGGACTTTGTAGATGTTTAATAAAGAATAACTTTCCATGTGCAGTGAAATGTATTCTATCCAGCATTTGCAGTACTTACAAATCCAGCCACCAGTGAACATATATTTTGCCTTAAATGAATGGTTTAAAAAGGAACAAGATGTTTGTCTAAAGCATGGGTACTCATGCCTGCCTCTGCAACCCAGAGAACTTCAAGTGGGAGGTCTTTTTTATCGTGTCAGAAGCAACTTGAGAAGCTGCAAGTCGCTTCTGGTGCGAGAGAATTGGCTGTCCGCAGGGATGTTGTCAAGGGGTGCTACCATCCTGTGGGAGGCTTCTCTCATGTCTCTGCATTGGAAGCTGGAGCTGATAGATGGGTGCTAACCCCATCTCACAGATTCGAACCTCTGACCTTCAGGACAGCAGTTCAGCCAGCACCAGGGTTTAACTCATTGCGCCACTGTGGCTTCCTGGGAGATCTAGCAATCATAATTGTTAAATTGCCCAGTGGTACATACCACCCATGTATTGTTAACTTAGAGAGTCTATTTAGACCAGTGCTTCTCAAACTGTGAGTCCCCAGATGGCCTTCAATTCCCAAAAGTCCTAACAGCTGGTAAACTGGCTGGGATTTCTGGGAGTTGTAGGCCAAAACACCAGGGAACTCACATGTTGAGAACCACTGATTTAGACTATAATGTTAAAGAAACTTCATAATATTTGACTATCAATGTTTTTGCATAGGATATTGTATATTGAAGTTTGGTACGTTTCTGTTCCTCTATTTGCTATTTGATGTACTCTGAGTGACTTACTTCAGAGATTAAAGTACGCATGCAACGTGTGAAAGTAATACAGCAGTGAAAGTAATGTCATGAGGTCAGTGCTGTGTGCGCGCGCCTACTCAGAAGAAACTGAAGGAATTGGCATTACAGTGACCTCTCTTAAATCCCTGTTATGAACCACAAAGCTCTATACAGCTCATGTCGAGGTTATCTGAAAGATTGCATTTCCCTGTTTGAATCTTGCCCATATCTTGAGATCTTTTAGAGAGACCCTTTTCTCTCTCCCATAATCCTAATAAGTACATTTGGTGGGAATAAGAGAAAAAGCATTCTCAGCGTCAGCTCCAAGGCTCTGGAATGCCTTTCCCGGTGAGGTTAAAATAGCACTCTTTTCTCCTATCATTTCATAAGAGCCCCAGTGATGCAATGGGTTAAACCCTTGTGCCAGCAGAACTGAAGACCAACAGATCACAGGTTCGAATCCGAGGAGAGCACAGATGAGCTCCCTCTGTCAGCTCTGGCTCCCCATGTGGGGACATGAGAGACGCTTCCCACAAGGATGGTAAAATATTAAAACATCTGGGTGTCTCCTGGGCAATGTCCTTGCAGACAGCCAATTCTCTCACACCAGAAGTGACTTGTAGTTTCTCAAGTCACTCCTGACACAAAAAAAATAGGCAAATGAATACTTTTCTTATTCAGCACATGATTGAGGGCTACTATTAAGGAGGAAAGGGCTTATCATTTATATCTGTTGTTCTTTTTAAGATTTTAACTACTTCCAACTTTATTATTTTACTGATAGTTTTAAATTATATTTTATTTTGATTGTATTTCTAACTTTTGCAAAACATAAATTCTTTATCAACAGCTGTTTTAATTTTTATAAGCGACCTTAGGTTCCAGACTAGGGAAGGGGCAAGAAAGGTGTATATAAATCTCAATTATCCCAATCTAAACAAAATGTGAATTCAAAAAGGGAAAAAAAGTTTTAAAACACTAGAACACTCTCACATGAACAAAATCCATTTTGCTACCTGTTGCCTCATAATCATTATTGCATCCTTCATATGTGGACTTAAATTTCTACCAAATTATCTGTTGTCTGTCCCCCAACATCCTAGCTGTACATCTTCATGCTGTTTGTTAATTATTTTTGAAATAAAGAAATATCACATATATTTTGGTAGGAATATAAGCGCAAACAGTTGGAAGAGCAGCGGCAAGCAGAGCGGCTCCAGCGGCAATTGCAACAAGAGCGGGACTATCTGGTTTCCCTCCAGCAGCAGCAGCAACAACAACAACAGCAACAGAGGCAGGAACAGAGACCGGCGGAAAAGAAAGCCCTATATCATTACAAGGAGGGACTCAATGCCACAGAGAAGCCTGCTTGGGCCAAAGAGGTAGGACCAATAACCTTTTGACTTTTGCACTTTATTCTGGGCTGCATATAGGTCACGGGTATGTCAAACCCAACTTACACACATTTTAAATATAGTCAAGCAACAAACCCAAACCCCATTTTCCCTTTTTATTGATTATCCAGCATTACTGGATTGTGCTCATTTATCCCCTGATGGCATCCAATTCCTGGACTGAGGAGGGATCTGTAAGAGGACGGTAAAGGTCCTTTACAACTCCAAAACTGAGATGATTCTATCATAATGGCAAATCTGCATTGTGGTATGATTGCCTCTCATTCCTTGCATGATTATGTGGAATCATCTATGCATCTAATCCAGGGGAAAAAAGATGCATCATTGAGGGGGTGAATGTTTTCTGTGAAGTGTTTTCATGGCCAGTATGTATCCTGTCCAAAATGACAATTGCTGCCTCAAAATTAAAAATGGGACAATGCTCAGTGCAGCTCTGGTAGAAATAGTGTTTAATCTATCTTTTAACCCTTCAGTCTAATATAAGAACAATGTGTAGGGTTTTTTAAAGTGTTCAGTCCCATGATGAAGTGAGATCCAGCAACTCTTCCCATGATGCCTTCATGAAATTATGGTTACCCTGAGGTCTTCTAGATCTTGCTTGTGTTATTCCATTGTTCGTTAGAATTAAACAGTGCTCAAATATAAATCCAGTTTGGCTTGAAGAGACTGTAGTTTTCTTGGTCTTGTGGTCATGACTAAAGGCCCTATATGAGGTGTTTGCTTTGTCTTATAATAAAAAAAAACACTAAATATAAACTCAGTTGTGAATTACATTTAGGATTCTCTTTGTCAAATCTGAGCCACAAGAGGAATTGGACTTCAAACCTGAGTACAACCTGCACAAGTATCTCTCTGAACTCTTCATTATACAGTTCCATTTCTCAGATGACACCCTTTCAGGCAATCTTGGGACTTGTTTGCAATAATTATTTACTTGTGATTAATATCAGTTCATTGTTGATGGTGTTTGACTTGAACTGAACTCTCAGAATTTGCACTGAAACACAAGTGGATTTTGGTGTGCATGAAACCTGTTCATTCTTTAATCATGTTATAAAGCAAGGTAGTAGTAAAGGGGACAGACCATATTGACCAAGTTGATCTGTCCTTGTTTTCCCCACAACTCTTTGCTTGCTATCCTTTTAAACCTAGAGATGCATAAAGATCATAGCGGTTGGGGCAGGGAGGGGTGAAAGCAAGAATGTAAGACATGTGACTACACTGGAAATTTAATGTTTCTTTCCAATTCCGCTCTCTATAGATGTCCATAGTTTTATCATGGCTTCTCACTCTCTGGTGGTCATTATGGCTCATCAGTGATGTGGTTAGAGGTATTTTGTTTTGAAACCCAACTCGGAAAGTACTTCCTCTAGTTAGTAATCTGTTTTGTTTCTCAAACATCTGGTTTAACGCACTGGACATCACTCAGGAGGTTTCAGACAGTAATATAGAATCATGGAGTTGGAAGAGACCTCATGGGCCATCCAGTCCAACCCCCTGCCAAGAAGCAGGAAAATCGCATTCAAAGCACCCCCAAGGTACATGTTTAGTGAAATAGGGAGCAATGTCCAGGCCTGATTAATTTCCTTGTTCCATCACATGAATAAAACTGGACATTTTTAGTTTCCTTTTTGTGGCTGTAGAATGTCAGTGAATGGTGAGCAATCAGATGTTCAGAAGCATTCAGCATTGACTTTCCTGTGGAGGAGACTAGGATTCCTTAGAAAACCATTTTGAAGCCAACAGTTTACACTATGGCTCAATATATAAGCTCACTCAGGATGCCATTGTTGTAGCACCATAGTTGTAGTGTCAACAAATTTTATTCATTGCTTGATCGGCCACAGTTTTGTCTGAAAGTATTTTTTTTATTCCATACTGTGCTTCACAGGTTTGATCATCCTCCTTTGACCCTGTTGCATGTTATTGTCTTGACAGCTGCTTATTTGTCAACTTTGTAAAGCAGAGGCATAAAGGGGACATTTTTTTAAAAAAAGAAGCAAGCCTAGTAAGTTCCTGCAGCTTGTTCATTACAGATGATTCCTGCTCACAGGTCAAAGTCGGGAGCAGCATGCTCTCATCTCTGCTGTAAATGTTATAACCGTGCCAGCTGCTGAATGAGAAACTAGCATGCCAGTGTATTATAATCACTCTGAAAGAAGGGATTGCCTGTTCAAAAGAAGATCTTAGTTGTCAGTGGAGCATGGTAATTGCTTCCACTTCAAAAGCTTCTTTTCTGTTGCAAATGTGACATTTGCATGAGTGACCTATATGCAGAATATTTTATTTCATGGTACAGAATTTAGATACCTGGAAATCACAGATTTCCTTTACACATACATCTTCCAAAACCAAATTGTTAGCCTGTATTGTGTTGGATCTACATTTTATGGTTTTAAATGCTTGAGGCACAATGAGAGTGATTTTTCTTATGATTCATATAAGATACCTTGTAATTTGCAGCAAAATGGCAATATTATTGCTCTGTGATAACAACTGCATTTGGAACATTGTGTTCGCACTGAAATAACTATAGGAAAGGACAAACAAAACCAAGGAAGGAGCACTTATGAAAACAAGCTAGAGAATGGGGACTTATTAATTCAGGAAAAAGACAGCCAAGCAAGGATATAATAGAGGTTCATAAAATTTTGAATTGCTTAGAGGGGGTGAATAGAGGTTATGTTTTCATTCCCTCACAAGAAAATTAGAACTTGGCATCACTTAGTGAACTTGCTTGGCAATAAAGGGCAGACAGAGAAACAAAACTGATTTTTCGTACAATGTTTAACTGATTTGGTTGATTCACAATTATAAAATGGAGTTGTGGCATTTGGCTTGCATGGATTTAAAAGGAAATTAGACAAATCCACATATCTATAATAGATAAATGGAACCTTTGTGTTCAGAGCAGCACTTGGAAAAGATATTTCCTTGGGCCTCAATCCAGTTGCCAGCCCAAGCTAGAGTAGATTCATTGAATTTATTGCTGAATGATAAGGAGTTGTTTGAAATGGCACACTGCACTTGTATTTTTCCTGGACTGTTTTTTTTGCTGCAGGAGAATACTTGTGGGCATATGTACAGTAAGCTTCCCTTATCTTTGAATTAACCGGCATCCAAGATTTACGAGCAGTACTTGGTACTTGTCTAAGTACAAATTAAGTGTTGTGGAGGACATATAACAGTTGCATTCTCTCTATCTAGTGAACTAAAATGTGTGTTTTCAGAGTTTAATTTTTGTAATCCTACCTCTCTAGGTACAGCAACGATATCTTAATAATCCACCTGTTATTCCTGCTAAGCAGCACCACAATTGCAATACTAAACAACTGATGACTTACCTTACTGACAAGGGTGCAGTTCCACAGTCCAACTCTAGTCATTTCTCTCACACATCTGAACCACACAGTGAACATTACCCGCAACACCCGCAGGCATTAGACAATTGCAAAAAGGACTTTTGGGGCTCTCCTCAACAAACAAGATTGTTACCTGTTATTAAAGTTTCCATGCCAAGTCCACAAGAAGACTTGAAGAAAAGACCCATCTTGGTAAACTTTGAAAATAGACTTGGTTATCAAGAGCGATGGGAAAAGAACAATAATGGAAAATATAACAAAGGATCTCGGTCACAAGGTTGCAGTCCTGAAAGGCAAACAAGATTAGAAATCAGGTGTGTGTCTTCTCCCCATCTTCCTGACAGTGGTAAACCACCATTACCTCCATATAAAACCAAGAAGAGCTTCCTGGAATATAATGGAGATAAGGAAAGAAATTACCTTCTTTCACCTCAATACCCACAAGCCATGAATTTGTCAAGAAGTACTCCATCATTAAACAGTGACAGATCAACACATGAGAACTTCAGTCTAAGTGCTTCCAGCCCAGCCAGTTTCTGGAGAGCAGCAAAAATGCAAGCTGATAAAAAGGCACATCATGCTTCCCTGGAGAATTTGCTAGAAATCCAGAAACTTCCAACAAAGAGCTTGGCCTCTGCTCAGCAAACAGTATTGCTGCCTGTTATTAAGGTGTCCGTGCCAAATCCACAAGGAGATCCAAACACAAAACCAGTTTTGGTAAACTCTGAAAACAGACATGATTTTCAAGAGCAATGGAAAAATAAGAATAACATGAAAGCCTACAAGGGATCTAGGTCACAAGGGTGCAGTCCTGAGATGCCACGAAGACTGGGTGTTAAGTCTGATCTTACCAAAAGATGTAAACCTCCATTGCCTCCATATAAGATCAACATGAACTTCCAGGAGTATGATGGACATGAGGAAAAGAAGTACCCTTTTTCACACTTACGCCCAAATGCCATTACTTTTTCAAGGAGCACTCCATCCTTAAGCAATATATTGTAAGCTCATATTGACTTCAGTCTACTTTCTGGAAAACAACAAAGATACAAACTGATCTGAAGAAACACTATGGATCCTTGGACAGTATCTCAAAATTGTCAATCTTCTACTGGAAAATAATAGAATAAAGCACAGAATAGTGCCTTGTTCCATCTTTGGAGTTTTCTCCACAAATGTCTTAGCTGAATGTACTCAGCTTTGGTGCCTTTGTCTTATAACTCAGCATCTTTCATTTGGTTCCAACTCTGATCAGATTTAATCCTCTGAATCTAGGCAGGGTTGTTCTTCTTCTGGCATTACTTTGCAGGTGTCTCTGGGTCATTTTCTAAGTCTTGTTTTTCTTCCAAGCTTTCTCTTCGCGTAACTAATGAAAAATTGGCTGTGGGTTGACATATCTGCGTCATCGAGCATATTTGACCTGCAAATTACTGGATAGTGCACTTCAAAGTCACATCGGATGGGTGAATTTCTCATCGTTGCCATTAAGCTGTAGCATTCTTGCCACTCTATTAATTAGCTGGGGCTTGCTAAGAGGCTTGCATCATGATTGAAATGAAATCCAACAAACAAGCATATCAGATGTTATTCTGCGTTGAATAGATA